TTTTTATAATTTATTTAGTCTATTTGTTATTAAAAATTAAATTATTAACTTTCATATGTATACAATTTATTTGAGTGTAAATATTGAACATATCTCCAAATTTAATTTACTTTGCAAGGACTGTATGACCAATATGTCGTTAACCAGATATTAATTTCTAAAGATTGCCGATTAAGGGAGTAAAATCGACGCATAAAATAATTTTAAGAAATTTTTTAAAGTTCTTTATGAAATATCTTAAAAGTATTTTTTAAAGAATTCCTAAAAATATAATTTAAAATTATTTTATATATCGATTTTAAACATTGTGCTCATTGGGTAACTAAAAAAAATAATTGCGACAAGTTTAGAACACTCTATATATTTGTATTGGATGTATGTATGCGAGCGCAAAATACACACATGTTAAGCTTATTTTATATGACAGATAAGAAGCATTCAAGCGCTCACGCGCTGTAAGCTTTATTCTATCTTTTATCACTTATTATATGCAGAAGGAAGATAAAATGAAATGAACATCCAAAATACAGCCTAAATAATTTAATAGGATTTAATCAAATGATTGTAACTGGATAATTTATAACTTGTAGCTATAAAGTTTAAGATTGATAGCCTTTTTTTTTGTTAATTATTTTTCTTAGATTTTTCATCAAAATTATCTTATCGTTAAAAAATGGATATTCGATTTTTATTAATATTATTTTTAAGTATTATTCTTCAAACTTTAAGCATGTATATTATAAAACTTACATAAATAAACCTAATGTCCTTCTTATAGACGGATTAATGTCCTTTTTATGGAGCTATCGAGGTCATCTTTGATTTTTCTTGTCAATGAAATTTTTTTATACCGTTGATTTAAATTGTAAATCTGAAATTAACTACTGAAATAAAAAAAATAATATAATAAACAAATTGAAATAACTATCTTTTAGGGCATAAGTATCAAAAAGATTTTTCGTACAACAATTTTTTTTATGTATATAAATTTCATATACATAGAATTGTTTTTATTTCTTCTATATTGGCGACAAGTTTAAACATATTTGAAAAATAATTTACATTTAATCTTATTATCGCACAGGTACTAATTTTCTCATAATAGATATTCTATCTCGTAATACAGTATTTACATAATATATGACTTCAAGTGCATTCTCGAATCATATAATTATGCATGCATTTCAAATACACATTTCATATAATATCTGCAAAAATATGTTGCAAGTTGTCAAATTATATAACGGTATCAATAATATTCCAGAAAAATGTATCTATGAAATTTTTTAAAACTGCAATAGAGATTTACATTATTTTTGAATACAATGTACATGAAAACATGTATTTAAATACATGTATTTTTGAATACAATTTTTGAATACAACTTATTTTTATGATTTAGTATTTCATAAATCTGTTTTTAGCTTTAGTGGCAAATTTTTATTTGTAAATTGAAAACAGATAGTATAATCATTCACTTCCTTGAATTATCTGTTTGATCATTGATTTAGCACTGAATAAAATATGAAAAAAGTGCCGAGAAAAAGCAATCAAAAAAAATTTTTTTTAAGAGCACAAATAAATTTATGCTGAATCAAATACAAAAAAACAAAACAACTATATTGAAAAAAATAATGTAAATGTAAATCTATATTGGAATTTTAATAAATTTTATAAATATAGTCAAATTATTCGTTCACTCTCCTACATAATCTTATACATAATGATTGAACTCGTTAGCGTTCAAAGCTCGACGAATATATTCATCCAAATAGATACTATCATCAAATTGGTAGTTACAAAATAAATATATAATGTATAAAATAGAACATTTTACATTCACAACAAATAAACTTTTACTATAACATTCAGAAAATATCAAAATTTTCATTTAAAGTTAAAAAGCTTTTTTTTAGGAAGTTATTCAATTTGTCGAGCCCTTTCCACACAACACAGTTCTCCAAAGAAATTCCTGGAGATGTTCTTAGGACATAGAACGTGCTTTAAACGCTTTTAGGACATCCCTTGAAGAATTATATTTGTGGATTATTATTACCACAAATTTTCAATATTTACACTATACATTGAAAAAATTCCAAACTCTTTACATATTTCATGAAATGCAAGTATTTTTTTAAATATTAACGTAATAAGCTATCAGTGATGAAATAATAATATGATATAATTCAAAAAGAATATTCTAAGGACTAATCAATATTCTGATAGTATATAATAAACATGCCTTGTTTTAAATGTATGCATTAAGTATTCTTTATAATGAGGATGAATCAATTTTATTTGAAATATATTTATAGAATTTATGAGACGGTAAGAAAAACTATAATTGTGTTATATGCAATATAATCTCGTTGCTTTTAAATACACAAATTTGAATTAGAATATTATAGTAAGTGAGAAAAATAAGATTACATTGCAAAATTGTAATTTCCTATGACGTACATGTAAATTTTCTGTTTGTTATCCCCTTAAATTTTATAAATATAATTCCGAATAATTATTAAGTCGCTCTCATTATAATTTTTCTATCTAAAAATTAGATAGAAAAATTAGTCAATGAAATCAATTTAATGAAATATCATCATTATTCTATTAATATTTAATTTCAGCATTCTTCCAACAAAGGAAATAATCATGTAGTAAAGAATTAAAATTGTATGTTTTTGTTCAAATTTTTCAACGTATTTGAAATAAATTTTTTTTTAATGAGAATTTCATTATAAATTCTATTTTACGTACGTTTTAATTACTTAAAATTTTGAATATATTGAGTATTGTATTAAATTGTCATTGATTTGACTAGCTACTCTCTAAATTCTTTGAAGTGGAATCTCATTTTGAAGAGTGAAAATTGAGCTAATCTTGAAAAAAAGTGCCTCAATTTTTAAGTTTTAAAAGTGAGAGAAATTTCACTCTTTAGAGTGAAATTCATTCTAAAAGTTTTAGAGAGTAAAGTTTTATTACTTACAGTCTCCAAGTCCTTTAATAAGCTAAAGCACCCTAATGTTACTTAACTTAGTATAATGAATCCAAGTTAATTTTCGCTGAGAACAGATTAAGTTTAAATCCATTAGACAGTTCAAAATTGATGGACTAATGCGCCTCTTTCATATGTATCACGTCTTATATTGCTTTATTTAATTTTTATTTTATGTAGTTTTAGCTTGAAACCAAGAAGTTCCGAAAGTACTCCTGAAAGTGCTGACAAAAGTACCACTTTAGTAATAGTGTACAAATACGGATTAGCTGATAGCCCAGAGATTTTGAACGGACTCTCCAATTCCTGTAAAATATATTATAATTTAAATTAATTAATTTATATTGATTCTTTTTATTATATTGATTCTTCAATGAATTTGTAAAAATACATACTTTAATCAAGTCAGCCGCTAATTTCAATACACTATTTGCAACCATAAGTTCTTCTTTTTTATGTGGTTTTTGCTCAATTTGTAAATATAAGTTGATCTAAAAATTGTATTGAAAAATAAGACAGATTTCAGAAAACTTTTTGGAAAAAGTTTAAATACATTATAACAAAGTCTACCTGTTCAGTTATCAAAACAGAGAGATTTCTGTACTTTTTGTTGATTTTTGTTCCTAACGTCATAAACCGCAATATAAATATTCCAAGCGAGAAGCTCCAGAATAATGCTTCGACATTATATCGTGAGTGTAAATTTTCGAGATCCTAAAATAAGATTTACATTGTCAAAAGAAATAAAAAGTAAAAATAGATATTAAAAAAACAAAATATACTTACTTTAATTAGTTCCAAACTTACGAATGACAGCAATAATAATGTTATAATAAATATTGCTGAAACAATTACGTCTACAGATCGCTGCGGCCCTCTTCGCTATAATACAAAATTATATAATAAGATATAAAACATATAAGAATTTTTAAACTGTATATAAACGCATATATTTAATATTTTTACCTTCAAGTAAGATCTGACACTTAGCCATGTCTTTATATTGCGCACTTTATTCAAACGAAAGTGCGGTAAATCAGATTTTCGCGCGCGTCTGGATGATGTCAAATGAGAGAATAATTTCGCATATAAAAGTCTCTGCTTGTATGTTCGTTCTGCTACTGCCAGCAAGAAAAACAGACAACATGACAACATAAATCGTTCAAACATTGAAATTAGCACCACCGTTCGTTCCCTAAGAAGAGTTATTTAAAAAAAATTATTAATTTATAAATATTTTAAAATACATAAACATAAGAAGTATTCTCTTACCAAAAAGTATTTCCGAATGAAATACCAATTATTCTACACAAGACATCGGTGTATGTTTCCAAGTTTATCTGAATCATATCACTTGGTAATAGACTAACAGACGCGTTACCAATATTATCTGATCCTATATGGTCACTCAGCCGTTTTATTGACGGTATTAGACACAATGCGATACTAAGTATTAGACCACCGTAAAAATAATTCATACCCTCTGGCATGGATTCGACTCTGGCAATTATTGCTGAACTAATATCAAGCACTGATAATTCAGCCTTTTTTATATCACGCCGCGTCCAAATCGTACACGAAACTAGAAACAGAATGATACGAAGTAGGAATTATTAAATCTGTTTAATTTGTTGAACGTATACAGTTGCTTCATGAATTAAATCTTTATTCGTATGAAAAATTTGCTATACTAACCGCGATCAGACGATGTGCAAGTAGAATTAAATAATATCGAAGGTGGCAATTCAAATTCCCATGAGAAAGGATGCTCCACAAATTCTCCATAATTAAGATTAGTCTCGCTGGCTATGTCAGATTCCCCGAGTTCTGAACTATAATAATTTCGATTTATAAAAAATTATGCTTTATTGAAATAATAAAACTCACCTGTAACTGCACTCGTCACTATTAGTTGTTACTCCCATCCATTCCGTGGCAGAAGTTGTTGCTTCTGTGAGATGATGCGTTGTAGCTTCCTCACACTCGCCTTCTTCTTCGCTCTCGCACTGCTGCCGTGCTTCTCTTGATCTCAATATTTTTGATGAAATCTCTTTAGCCTTAAATTAACAAGAATACAAATTAGTCGATAGATTAATATAAGATGCATTAGATATGAATTTTTTAAATATTTTTTATTCTTGATAAAATTAAAGGATATTTAAGAATATTTAAAAAGAATAATAATATCTAAAAAGAATTGGTCTACAAAAGAGACAAGCAAAAAAAAAAAAAAAATAGATAGAAATTTTGTTAAGCTTATAGATTTAGTAAAGAAAAAATAAATTAAACTTATAAGTGATAGTACCTTAATATTGCCATTATTGCTTTTGCTATCCATAAAATTGTCATCATTTTTTAATGGATCAGGTGCTGCGTGGAAAGTGGAAAACGATGATTTAGCTATTACTCCATTTTATACCTTTCCAACAAAGATTAAAGCGTGTTAGCGGTTCGGAAACCCCAAATAAAAACAAATTTAAAAAAAGATTACTTTCATTTAATGTTATAAATTGTAAAATTAGATGAATTATTAAATATGCGTTTAAAGTTATTTTTAAAAATTTATGCGTTTATAAAGTGCGTGTCTAATAATAAATAAAGCATGTTTAATAATGAATAAGATTTATAATTATCTTTGCAAAATTGTTAAATGTCTATAAATTATTTTACAAGCGTATACTTGTAAATCAAACCTGAGTTTTTTGATGAAATTTGTTGACTAGTGCTATCTTCTGACCATGACATATGATCTTTACTCTGTTGTATCAAACTCAATCGCGATTTATTTTCTTGCACCAGTGCTCGACCTATCCCTTTGTCATTATCACTGGAAACATTCCCATTTAGACTTTCAAAGCCATCATCATCTTGATGTATATTTGCTACATGTTCTTCTGGTACATTATCTGTTTCAGAGTGAAACATGTATGTGTTATAAATATATGAAATATATAAACTTGCAATAAATAAATAATAACTTTTTTTTACCTTGCTGTTCATGATTAGTTGAACTTTCGTTTGCAGGGTCAGAATTTTCTCCGGTTGTATTCAATGATTCTTTGTCATATAATACTTGAGCATTTGCAAGTTCCTATTACATCAGAAATTTTTAAATACATACGATATTTTGAACAATTATTATAAACTTGAAATTTGGATACCTGAGATTGGCTAACAGTCGAGGAATTTTGGATGACCACTTTTTTAGCAAATCTTACTGCAGTGAATACTTCTTCATTTCCTGTACTCACTTTCTCAGAAGCCATATCTTGAGAAGATTTTGAATCCTTATGTACACCTTTAGCAAAAATTTAAATATTATAAAGATGAATATTTTTTGTTTTAATGCATACTTACGTAAATTCTGTCTAGGCCTCGATTTTCCATTTCTGCACCTAATATGTCGAGAGCGTCTTGTTATTCGTTGTCTGGACTGATTATATGTCATAGTAGGACCTGAATGTGTCGATACAATATGGGAATGAACAGTGCACAGAACAAACATCATAACAACAGGTACTAATACTTCTGACATTGATATAATCTGTAAAAAGACGTGACAGTCAAGATCGATAGCAATGCAAGTACAGTTTAGAAAATCAGAAACAACTTATCATACTTCTGCCTCATTTTCCCTGTTTGTATAAACATAATATAGGCATATGTTGATCGTTTGCAAGCTATATAGTAACAAGAAAAGCACAAAGATGCGATAACTTGTTTGCTGTATCCACCACTTTTTGTACAATGGAAGGAACAAGAGTCGCTGAAATGCTAGGCAAGCTACTGTCAACAAACCATGCTTTGGCTTGGCTTTTGGAAATGAAGATCCTATATACATTATTAAATCATGAATAAATATACATGCCTATCAAGGCAAATACTATAATATATTTAAACACTCTCACACACACGCGCGTGCGCACGCACGCACGCACGCACGCACACGCACCGTACACACATATATACATACAGGGTGTCCTAAAATTTGCGCATTCGAAGCACATGATACTTTATGTTAAAATAAACAAATTTTTAACAAAATTGCGTCTAATAAATAATTTTTGCGCATATTTGTTAACTTCTACTTATTTTTCTGCAAAAACTACAAAAACTACAGATGCAATTTTGCAAAAGAAAAAAAGTTGTTTTAGCATAAAGTATTATGTCCTCCGAATACGCGATTTTGAAACACTGTGTGTGTGTATATATATAGGTCTGATAATTGTTCTGACAGAGTTCGTGGACATATAGAGCAAACTAAATTGAGACAGAAAGTCTTGTATCATTTTGTAATTTTCACAAGATATATTTTCTTCTCATAGAACTTAATTAATTTTTCAGAATTTTTTATCAATTTTAATATTTTATCAATTTTAAAATTTTCTTATAATATTTTTATCATCATGAGAAAATACGGTATTAAAAAATTCTAAAAAAATTTTTAGAGCTCTATAAGAAGAAAATAAACAATTTTCGTCTCTTGCAGTTTCTTTTTTCTGTAAAGTTGATAGTATTTGAGTAAAAAATTATTGAAAACCAATTTTCGACAATTTTTAACAATTAATATCTTGTTGAAACTTGACCTATTGCGAAAATTGTAAAATGGTAAACTTTCCGTCTCAGTTTAGTCCGCTCATATTCACGAACTCTGTCAGAACAATTATCAGACATCCTGTATATACATAAGTTGAGATTAATAGTCAAATCAGCTTTTTGCAGTCAGAGGTCAATATTTTACTCTCTTTTGTGTGATTTTTTATATTCAATTGCAGTCCACAATTCATTTCTTATGGTAAAAAATTGTTTCAACCATTAATAGTGAATTTAGTCACTTGTATTTATTATCACTTGTATACTATTATATTAGATTAGTGCATATCACAAAAGCTGCTATACATGAAATTGATAAAGTTAAATGTAAAAGCATACAAATATTTTAAACATGTTTAAATTATCTTATCACATCATTTAATAGAATATATATGTATTATTTTGTTGTCAAAGTTGATTATATTATGCCATTGCATTTAAATACTTTATATAAAGCAGCCTTTAATGTGTACTGATTTAATATAATGCAAGTGACTAAGGGTCACTTTCACTAAGCTCTGATTAACTTAACAGATCTAATAACTTTGCAAGATTCCAATTGAAGTTGATGTTGGAGAAAAAATGCAAAGAGAGAAGTTATAAATATAGATTTGATGATAATACTACTTATGCAGTAAGGTTTCTCTCTGATAGTTTGTTATTAACCTATTTTTATATTCAATGTAGTATGTAAAATTACAGTTAATTATAATTAGAAATATGTTATGTGTAACTCTTTAGTTCACATTCTTTCTCCAACAACAGTTTCAGTTGGCAAAGTTAGATCTATTAAGTTAATTGGAGCTTGGTGAAAGTGGTTCTCAATTTA